GGGGGGGGGGGGAGAAGGGGAGACTCACCTTCAGGGTGTCACTGGGGGGGCTGATGTCGTTGATCAGGTGTCCCAGCAGGGCATCGCTTTGGCTGCTGTGCCCCAGCAGGACCCCAGAGGCTGCTCCGGCCACTTGTACCCACAGATCCAGGACCTGGTACAGCCGAGCCCGAACCGCACTGAGGAGAGCGAAGAGGGCGAGGGCTCCTCATCATGCTGGCCCCCTTGGGGGGGGGGGGCATCCCTGCCAGCAGCTCCAGCCAAAGGATTGGGCCGGTGGCGGTCAGCCGGGTCCCCACCGCCCAGCAGCTGTCCCCAGAGACCTTCCGCCACCAACCTGTAAGGTCGCTGCAGCCCGGGGGAGGGTAGATCCTGGCCAGCCCGCCACACGTTCAGCACCTGGGGAAAGAGGCGGCAGAGGATTCCCCCAAACCGCACCAAGCGAGGACCGCAACTGCAGGAGGGAGAAGAGAGGCTGCCTGCTTTGAGGGTCCGGCACAAGCCCCCAGCCCCCCTCCTCCTCCTCCCCCCCCACTTACGCCACGATGAGGGCGGCCAGGAGGTCCAGGGCCTCCAGGTGGATTGAGGGGAGCAGCAGCATCCGGAGGGGTCCATCGCCAAACCAGCTCTGAAAGCAGGGGGAGGGTCAGCCATCACCCCCCCTCCGGGCTCCCAGGGGGTCTGAGTTGCACAGAACCAGCACGGCCGGCTCTGACTGCAAAGCCTTGCAAAAGATCCCCCTCCCCAAATGAGAAAAGAATGCCAGCACTGCCCGCTGGCTCCTAAGGCCACTCGGCAGCCCCCGCCATCCTGAGCCAGCGGTCCACGAAGGAACCCCCTGCGCCTCCCTCCTTCCTGGGCGGCTCTTGTCCCCAAGCCCCCCTTCTCCTCCTCCTCCCTTTGCTCCGGAAGCCCTCCCCGCTGATTGCGAGGGGAAGCTCACCATGTTCTTCACAGAGACGTCGAGGGCTCGGCAGACGAGGTCCAGGATGGCCTGGGCGGGGACCGCGACAGGTGCCCCAAAATCGTTCCTGAAAGAGCAGGGGGGAGGAGCAGGTGGAGACGGGGGCCCCAGCCTGGCAGGGGCAGCCAGAGAGGAAGGGGCACCGGGTCAAGGCCGGACCTGAGCATCCGGCAGAGGCATTTGGCCAAACCCGCAAACCGGCGTTTTGCCAGGAGGAGGAGGAGGGAGTCGGTCTCTTCGTCCCGCAGCGGCGGCAGCAGCACTTCCTCTCCCGGCCCATCGTAGTGCAGCGGTTCTGAAGGGGAGAGCAGGGCGTAAACCTTCTTTCGCCAACTCTGGGCCACCGGCTGCCCCCGCATGGGAACGCAACTGGGCTCCATCGGACGCCCAGGGACACCGGGGGCCCCTCCGGCAGACCACCCGCCCAAGCAGAGGCCGAGGAGCTGCCGCTGGGGACAAGCGGCTGAGGAGCGAGCCGGCCGGGCCCGGGAAGGCAGAAGCAGCCGGAAGGTCTTGACCATTCGCTCCCACTCACCCGTCTCGGCCCCCTCGTAGAGCATGCCCAGGAGGCGGTGCAGCGTGGCCACCAGAGAATGCGCTTGCTGCTCCCAGGACTCGCGGTACTTGAGCCCCTGTGCGAAACCTGCTCCCAGAGAAGGCAGGAGCGCGTAGCACTCGCAGGCCAGCTGGGGGAAAGGAAAGCCGCAGGGGTGACGTGAGCAGCCAAGGGGGGGGGAGGGAGGGCGCCACCCCCACTTTCTGAGATGAGGACAGCTGGAGAAGGATCTTATCGCTGGCCCCACCAGCCAGTCCCACAACCGGGAGGATCCGGGAGTGGGAATTCCAGCCAACAGGAACGCCCCCTTCCCACTCCTGACGCAAAGAGCAGCACAAGCGGGGTCCTAGCCGGCCGTGAGTACCCTGAGCCCCACAGGGCAGAGCCTTACCTGCTGCAGGTGAGGCGTCTCCGCATCCATGCAAGACAGGAAGTAGGTGGCCAATTTGCCCTGGGGTGGAAAAGGCGGCAGTGAGCAGGGAGGCCATCGCGGTGGCTGCCCACGGTGCCCTCCGCGTCTGAGGCCGGGCACTTACCCGCAAGGAGCCACAGGCTCGGGGGTAAAACGTCATGCACGCCTGGCATCCTTCCAGGACAGGGAGCTGGCACTGAGCGGTGGGGAGGAAAGGAAGCAGTCAGCCCGGACGGGCCTTTGAGGAAGGGACTCCACCCGCTTTGGGGGGAGGGGAGGGGGTCTCACCTCCGGTTTGAGGGCCAGCAAAGAGGTGAGCAGTCCGGGGATGTGGTTGGTGGCGATGTCCCGGGCCAGTTCCGGCAGCTGGGCAGAGTAGCTCAGGAGGTCACGCAGCACCAGCACGGCCAGCTCCATGGTGCCAGGGGGATCCTGGGACTTTTGGGGGGGGGAGAAAGGCAGGTGGGTGGGTGGGGCGGAGCTCCTATAACCCCCGCGAAGGGGAAACGCTTTCGGGAGGGGGGAGGGGGCTCCCCAGGCTCACCTGGAGCAGGTGCTGCAGACTCCGCAGCCACAGCAGGCAGTTCTCCGCGAAGGTCTCCGAGCCGCTCTCGGTCACCAGCAGCGACAACAGGCAGAGGCCCTCGAACCTGCCCGGCGGGAGAGCAGCGTCAGTCCCCCCCACACGCACCGGCCGAGGCTCAGGGGAGGGAGGCGGGGAGGGAGGGGGCGACTCACCGCGTCTTCATGGAGCCCATCCGGGCGCTGCTGAGGACCAGGAGGCTGCTCAGCGACGGCG